GGGGAACCAGGTGGTGGGTGCATTTTGGGCTTTGATGGAATTGCCAGATTGCCCTCTGTTGATGACATACCAAGCTGCCATCCCAGAGGCTGTGTGCCAGCGTGCCTGTCTCTGCAGGCAGCCAGCCTCAGTATCACACTTCTACATCTTGGCTGAATGAGAGGCAAAAAAAATGTAATCTTACCGAGCTTCCCTTATCATGAGCCTGAGCATCTCTGCATGCATTCCACAGGCATCTGTGATTCTCTTCTCTGAACTGTTTATATCCTTTGCCCATTTTTCTATTGGTTTGTTAATCTTTTCCTTATTGATCTGTGGAAACATTTTTATGTCAGGAAAATTAACTCTTTGCCTATGATAAGAGTTGCAAATATCTTCCCCCCAGTTTGTCATTTGTCACTTCTTTTTGCTTGTGAGTTTTCTTCTACCCGTGTAGAATTTTCTCATCGTTGAAGGCATCAATCTGTCTCCCAACCATCTGTAGCTCATGTAGTACTTAGAAAGTACTTGGTGGATATTCTACCCTGCCAGGATTGTGTATTTTTACATTTCTGTGATTTTTTTCTAGTTCTTTTAGAATTTCATTTTCATGTTTAAAACACTGATCTCTCTAGCATTTATTTTGAGGTAAAGTGTGAGGAAGAGATTCAACTTTATTTTTTATTCCCAAATGGCTCCCTGGCTGTTCCAAAACCATTTGTTGAATAATTGATCTTTTCCCCACTGACATGAAATTCCATTTTCATAATGTATTAAAATCCCCATATCTAGTTAAGCCCGTCTTTAACCTCCTAGATAGTCCCATAGTTGGTCTATTCATAAAGACCACATTGTTTTAATTATTGGAGCTTTATAATATATTTCCATATCAGGTGCTAGCCTCCCACCATGACCATTCTTGGTTATTCTTTTGTATTTTTTATGTAACTTTTTAATCACTTTGTCTAGATAAAAAAAGTCTGTGTTTTGTTGTTTTTTGTTTTTTTTTTTTTTGGTTTTTTTGGTTTTTTTCAAAATAAGGTGACATTTAAAAGAATGCTATCTTTCTATATTGAGTTTCTACCCACACTTCTCCCCTTCTCACTGGGAGAGTAAAGGTAGCTATATTAGTCAGCTTTCTGTTTTGAGGGAACATACTTGACACAGAGTTTAAGGCTCATGGTTCTGAGGCTTCAGTCTATGGTTAGCTGGCTCCAAGGCAGAAACAGCCTGGCAAAAGAGCCTGGTAGAATAAAGCTGCTTACCTCATAGTGACCAAAAAGGAGAGAGACAAAGGAAAGAGCCAGAAAGAGAGTAAAGAAGGGGCTGGGGACAATAATGTACCCTTCCAGGTTATGCCCCAGTGAGCTACCTCCTCCTACCAGGCCCTGCTTCTGACAGCACATTTAGCTATGAAGTCACCAATGGATTAAGCCACTAATGAGGTTAGTGCCCCTGTGCTTTATTCACCTTCCAATAGCCCCATCTGTAAAATCATGAGCCTCATGGGAACATTTTTGCTCTAAGCCATAACAGTGGCTGACAGGGCTGGTGTGCACAGTTGCACAAATACATACTGCACCATCCTAGTACAAAGACTGGGCAGAGGGGCCAGCTCCAGCTAACATGATATAATCTCTTCAGAGCAATCTGCCCATCTGCATTTATGAACAATAGTAATAGTAGCTACCCCTTCTTTAGCATGCACCAGGCTCTGCTCTAAGAACTTTATTAATTTGTGCGATCTTCTTGCAGAGATATTCTGCCTTACAGCTAAGGAAACTGGGGTGCAGAGGTTAAGTAACTTTCCCAAGGTCCATGATTTGTACCATCCTGTACATTTGCAACACTGATATGCACAAATACGGATGTGCACAGGTGCATGCAATGACAGTCACAGATACACATGTGGACACGTAGACAACAGCAAACGCACACACACACACTGTTATTCCTACTGTCATCCTTTTCCCTTCCCACATCACGCAGCCAATCCCCCTATGTAATTATGTAATCCCTGTATCCAGAGGGCAGAGGGCACTGCAGAAAGGGGTGATATCCTCTCAGGGGACTGGGAAAGGAGCCTCAGTATCTTTTGTGCAGCCTTGGGGTGGTGAGGAGAGGGGACAGATGGGGAGCACCCAGCAAGGGGCCTGGTACCAATCAGGCCTCCCTCCCTTCTCCTTCCCTCTTCTCCAGCAGCTGCAGGAATCAGCCCATCCAAGTACCAGTCATTCTTCCAGACTGCCCAGCTCTCAGGTCAGGGGAAGAACGAACCAGCAAATGCAGACCTGGGAGCAAACTGCTCGTGAGCAGGTTCACAGAGGCAAGGGTCTCCAGGCACAGAGCGTATGTGTGTGTGAGTGTGTGTGAGTGTGTGTGTGCATGTGTGTATAACACACGCGCACACACACACTCCTGACAGTTGTGGCTCTGAGTCAGCCTTACATGGAAGGAAGGGATTTAATCACTCGGGGGCTGGGAATGTTATTGTTTTAAAACAAACGAGGGATGACAGCCGCGAACAGAGGGTTTTTAAGAACGCGATTCAAAGGGCTCTTGAAAGCTGCTGGAGAATATGAATGCGCCTTTGAAGTGAGAATGTGCCCATTTGTTACGCTGAGAGCAGAGCTGGCTGCCTTGAGGGCAGCGAGGCAGTCACTTTCCTTGGCAAAGGGGTGCCTGCAGCCTCAGGAGCCAGGCCACAGAGGCTCCAGGACCTAGACGCACAGGGCCAGCGGAGGGTGGTCACCCCTCTGAATCTACACTCTAACCGAGGTCCTCCCAACTGTTTTTAAGGCCAGTCTGCTCACGAGACAGTTGTTAAGGGCAGTGGAGAGATGACTGTGAGCAGGCAATAAAAAATGTGCCACTCAGCGGACATCAGTCAGGCAAGGGGGCCTTTGGGCGGCTCGCCTTCTCTGAGCCACCCTCAGGCTTGGGGCTGGTAATAAGTGTGGGAGTTCAAGAAAGAGACCCCCCCAAAATGCTGCAAGTTATGCATTCATATGATTAAGCCTTGGGGTCCAAGGTTTGGGGTACTGTGGGTCAGGGCCAGTGGCCTGGGCCCCAAAAGCCCACTGGGACATTTTTTGTAAATCCGTGCTTGAGCTCAGATGAGACCTGGAAACAAAGACTGAATGTGATCGTGGATGCCCCCTGCTTGTTAGAGCCAAGGATGAGAGGCAGGCAGGGTGCAGGGCTCCTGAGCTCAGCCTAGAGACAGGAGAGCCCCACTTCCTCCACCCCAAGTCGCCCTGATGCCACATGCCCCTTCCTCCTCTTCCTCCCTTCTTAAGCCAAAAGAAGAATGTCAGGTGGGTTTCTGCCCTCTAGGCTCACGAGGAATGGCATCCACCAGCAGGGAAGGTGAGGGAGGGTGATGTACCCCTCCCGGACATGGACCCCCACATGCTAGTCTCTGAGACAAAATGACTATTTGCAGAACACCCATGCCAAGGCAGGCCCAGGACCAGCATTTCAGCCCTTAATCTCATTTGGTCCGTACTGCAGCTATTTCTCCTCCATGCCCGCTGATGGAGATTGGGACTCAATAGAAGAAATGCTTCACCACCACCACCACCATACACACACACACACACACACACACACACACACACACATGCATGCACCTGGGAAGTAGTGGACTGAACAGACGGGGTAGTAGATGCTGGGACCCCCCCACCAGCCAGTGGCCTGGAGGTCAGGAACCTAGGGCCTGCAGCTTTCCTTGTGGATCTGAGAATGGGGATCTGCAGAGGGCACATGGACGTGATCTGGGAAGCCTGGACCAGATCCCATCTGCCACTTAGCCGCTATGTGGCAGGTCTTCTGTACACAGTGGGTGACCACTGGATGAGTTGTTGAGCGGTGCTTTCCGAACCGCACTTCCCCAAGCCATCAAATGCAAGGTGCAGGGCACACAAACTATCTGTGGCTTCCTCCCTGGTCCTTGTTATTCTCCCCTCCCTATCCCAGTTCATCTGAGTGAGGGGCCAGTCGAGTGCTTAGAGCTTTTCTCCTATCTCCAGCTGCGTGACATTGAGCAAGATTCTGACCTCCACCCACCAGGGCTTCTCTGCACCCTCTCTAAAATATGAATTATCATCCCTGAGTCAGGGGTTGCCACAGGGATTAAATGGGCAGATGTTAGAGCCCCTAGATCAACCAGGACTGGCCAGTGCCATGGACATCATTGCCAGATACTGGCTCCTGTCCCCAGCCTGGCCCCACCTGGGGAAGGCAGTGTCTCAGGGTAGAGCTTAGAGCTCTCTTTCTTCCTCTACTTCCTCAGTATTCTTTTATCTCTCTCCTCTACTTTTACTTTGGCCTGCTCTCCTCCCAGCCGGAGGGGACAGAAAGCTCCTCTTCCATCCAAAGCTGTTGGTCAAAGTGGTCCCTTGACCAGAGTGTGTTGCCCATGTCGAGGGGCCGTGGGGCTTATGATCTGTGGGCCTGAGTCAATTTAGAGGGTTCAAAAGACTCTGCAGAGAGGTGCAGCAGCCACTCGGCCCCACGCCCACAGCCCGAGCAGCAGCACTTCCCCTCCCCAGGCAGCTGTCCCGGTGTAAATGGGGAGGTTGAGGCAGGCTTGCTAAGGCCTTAGACGGCAGGAGCAAGCAACCTGGTGACGGAAAGACCCACTGAGCAGACCCTGCCCCTGATGCCTCTGAGGATTTCCCTAGCCTTGGGAAGCAGGATAGGGACTGCTGTCGCTTGCAGCTCTGTGAACCCACTGCTTTGTTCTCTGGGTGACATTTAAGGGGTGGCAGCGGAGGCGGCCAGCCTGGTGTGTATGTGGTAGAGGGAGGCAGAGTTCTGGGTGGCAGGTGAGGAGGACTCTGCTGAAGACCAAGCCCTGGAGTCACACTGACCCAAGTTTAAGTCCTCTCCCCCTCCCCCTCGAGGCCTAGGGCAGGTTACCTGGCTGCAGCTGCTCCCTCTGTCGTGGGTGCTAAATGAGCTAATGCAAGTAGCTGAGTGGGTGCTAACCGATGGCACTGTGTCCTTGTTTCCTGCAGATGATGTGTCCCCATATTTCAAGACGGAGCCCGTGCGGACGCAGGTGCACCTGGAAGGGAACCGCCTGGTGCTCACGTGCATGGCGGAAGGCAGCTGGCCGCTGGAGTTCAAGTGGCTCCACAACAACCGGGAGCTGACCAAGTTCTCCCTGGAGTACAGGCAAGTTGCATCGCCTCCCTGTCCTGATGGGAAACATCCAGGTGTGGGCCTGGCCACAGGCTCCCCGTCCGGTGTTCTTGGGCAGCAGAAGTGACACCGCTTACGCTGCTGACCCCAGCAGAGGATGGCTATCTGGTGGGCTGGGGATTCCCCATACAATGGTGGATGGGGGCTCACTGCCGGCAGCTATGGCTATGGCCAGAGCCCCTTTCTCATTTGTTCCTGAGAAGAGCCCTGCTATCCCAGGGGGCCCTGTGAGAGGGGCCTGGGTACCATGGGGCGGGTAGGGCACTCAGCGGCCTGGGGTTAGTAGGGGAGGAGACATCTTCTCTTGGGGGGACCATTCAGGAGGGGCATGGAGATTGTCTGGGTACCCAGACCTTATCACTCTATTTGTACCGGCTCCTGAGCCCTGGGCTTGACTGGTCCTTCCCTCCCCAGGGCATAGCCAATGGGGAGAAAGATGGGGAGTGGGAGCAGGGTTTTAGCAAGGGCAGGTTTGCCTCTAGCAATGTGAGCCAAGCAGCTATTCCCCAGCCCTGCCCAGCCACCAGCTTCCTCCTGGCCCTGTGCTCCCTCCCTCCTACTCTTATCCTCCCATCTCTGCCTTTTTTATTGGCTCCCAACCCTGTGGCTGGTGATTAATCCCCAGGCCTGATGTGCATAATCGGTTTTGTTGAGGAAACAAGATTGTCTTGCCCTGGGGATGTTGATACAAATCTGCCTCCGGGGACAGGAATGCAAATGAGAGGAAGGGCTTAATTGCTTGAAGACCTGTCCTTCCCAGACAACCATCCTTTCTTTTAGGAAGCAGGGAGGCCCGATGTTGGGGTAAACTGAGCCCCTAGGTCCTTTCTGCCCTAACCCTGGGCTGGGTCTACTGGTGTAGTGTGGCCTCATTGGCCAAGGAGGAGCAGGAGAGGCCAGGGCAGGATTTAGCATCTTCCCCTCTTGCATGGGGATAGCTAGACCAGGAAACAAGAGGTCCTCCATATTGGTTGTCCTGGGCCTTAATCTCCCAAGAGGAAGCCAAAGAGGGGGCTCCTAAAGTTGCCCATAGGAGAGCCTTAAGGGTCCAGAGCTGCTCCTGACCACTGCCTAGCATCCCTAGGGCCCTGACAGACTCTGAAGAGCCCCTGCATCCTTTTGGGTGGGGAACGTGATTGAATGGGATATCAAGACCTGGAAGATGGCCTAACATGAGGATAGGTGGGACCAGAGCCTTCTAGCCTGCCCTCGACTTCTGGGAAGAACCTGGAGCAGGATCTAGGAGGAGAAGAACCTGTTCCATATCTGATTCAGAGCTGATCATTTGGTGCCCTGCACTGCCAGGACACAAGGGTGGGTACCACACGGAAGCAGAGTATAGTTCAGCTCAAGGATCAGTCTTGCTTACCAGTAGAAGAAGCCACATTTGAAAACAGTCAGTTTTTGTCCCTAGAGGAAGTGGTCAGGATTCAACTGTTCATAATGGTAGCAATAATAATAATCATGGTCAGTGAAAATAATTCGTAAGGTCAGCACTATGATGCAGGCTCTGCGCTTAGGACACTGAATCTTACCAGCCATCCTGTGAGTAGGCACGGGCATTTTCCCCATTTTACAAATGAGCACATGAAACTTTGAGAAGTTCAAGAATTCACCCAGGTCCTACTGCTGAGCTGACTGCAGAGCTGGATTTCCCTTCCATCCACCACCCTGCCTCTCACGGAGGAAGGATTGCTGCAATCACTTCCTTAATGTGTATCCTGAGCAATCTTTCTGCTAACCGTGCTCTGCAAATTCTAGAAAACAAAGCAGTGGGGAGAATGCAAATATTCCATTTTATAGCTGTGTTGGGTGGAAGTCATTGGGGGAAATAAATGAGCCTCCACTCGGGAAGCTCCTCCTTTGCCTCCTCGCCAAAGGAGTGTTTGCTGCAATGGTGTGGCGGCAATCACACGCCTGAATGCGGGCTGGTCATTATGTTCCTCTAATCAAAAACTTGCTGTGCCCACAAGGCAGGGCTGAACCCCTCAGTGTGACCTCAGGACTCTTTGTTCGTGCTCCTGAAGGCATCTTCTTACCTCCCGCCACTCCCATATGGGGTAGCACATGCCCAACAAGCAGGCTGTGGTGGTTTCCAACTGGCCCCTTTCAGAGCTTCCTCTCCTGCAGTGCTCAGCCCAAATGCCTTCTTCAGTAAGCCTGTCCTGCCTGATTGCTCCCCTTCCCTTCCCTTCCCTTCCCTTCCCTTCCCTTCCCTTCCCTTCCCTTCCCTTCTTTTCCCTTCCCCTCTTCTCTCTCTCCCTCTTCCTCTCTCATCTGTCTCTCCACATTGCTCCCTCTCCTCTGTCCTTTGGGATTGTCCATAAGACATCCCATTACATCTCACCTTCTAATCACTGTAAATGAACCGTAAGGCTGAGGTCAGAGCCTCCCGAACCTTAGTGGCTCCAGAGACCTCAAGCCTTAGACTCTAGAACTTGACACTGCCAGGTCTTCTTCCCTCCAGGCTGCTCAACTGTACCTGCCTCTAGGTGCAGACTCTATTCTCCTGCAGTGAATGACCCTGAGAAGTTCAAGAGTCACAGACTGTAGCTGCTGACTTCAGACTAGAAGGAAATTCCCCGGAAGTTTCACTTAGAAAGTCCCAGGGAAGGATCCTGATTGGCTCAGCTCTGGTCATCTCGGACCAATCAGTGGGCAGCAGCTTGTCCTACCAGTACTGACCTGGCAAGCACCACGTGTCTACTCCAGGGCACAGGCATTGCCCACACTACAGCACATGGTAGGGAAGGAGGGAGGTTGTTGGCAGAAGAAAGGGAAAAGTGGTGGGCAGATAGAGGCCTCCTCTACTACACCATTCCCGTCCCCAAGAAGGGCCTCGCCCACAGCAGGCGCTTTTTTTTCCTTCTTTCCGTTGTTCCTCCCTCATTCCCTCTCTCTCTCTCTCTCTGTCTTTCTTCCTTGCTTTCCATTTTGAAAATTGTCAAGTTTTAGAAAAATAGTACATCTACACAGACGCATTCACTATTTTTGCTGACCTCTTTAAGAATTTGTTGTAGCCACTGTGTCTCCTCACTTCTAACTAGTGTTTTCTCAGGACAGGGCATTCTCCCCCAGAACCATTGCACAGTTCTTACATGCATTGGTCCAGTACTGCTACCTAACACACAGCCCACGTGCAGACTTCTCCATTTGTCCCACTGTCCACTTGTTTGACCTAATCAATGTCCTTTATGGACATGTTGCTGTTATTTGATACAGGATCTAATCAAGGACCACGCACTACTTTTAGATGTCAGGAATCTTTACAGTCCTTTACAACCCTTCTCCCGATGTGAATTTGTCCATCTGTACCCTCGTTTTTGGTAATAATATGACATGAGTGTGTGCACTTCCTGCGTCATACCAAAAAGCACGTGACGTCAGCTTGCCCCAGTGAAGATGTTAGGTTTGATCACCTGGTTGAGGTGACGCTTACCAGATGTCTCCATTGTCAGCATCTTAAGTTTGGGTCTCTCCCCCCCCCCCACTTCTCTCTCTCCTCCTCCTCCTCCTCTTCCTCTTCCTCCTTCTCTTCTTCCCTCTTTCCCTCTCTCCCCCTCTTTGCTTGTGAATATCAAGCCCAGAGAATGTGCATTGACCTACATCTCCAGCCCTTTTTATTATGACTTATTTTTTTATTTTGAGAAAGGGTCTCACTAAGTTACTCAGACTTGGCTGGAACTTGGCATCCTTCTGCTTTAGCCTCTCAGAGTACAGTCCTGGGATTGCAGGCCCGCTCCCCAGTGGATCTCCTTGCCTTTGTCGTTTCCGAGTGACGAGTGATGTGTGGCTTGAATATGCTCCTCCCCGGGAATTTCCATCCAGTGATGTAGCCTGTGGGTGAATCTTAGCTGAATCAGTTTTTTTCATGGCGTTTATGTTACCGAGATTTTCTTTCACTTCTCTTATTTATCAAGGTTTTATAAAAAGCTTTATCTTCTCACTCCCTGTGAAATAATTTAGTATCAGTGTGAACTCATGGGTTTATTTTTACCCAAATACATAGATATATATGTAAATATATATTCAAATATATGTATTTTTACTCAATGTGTTTTAATTAATCCATGTCATTTCATTTCAGTGCTCTTAATAACCCAGATTCAGCCAGTGGAACCTCTTAAAGCTGAATTACAGATCTTTTCAATGTATACTCATTAGATTTTGAGCACTTTCTTGGTTTTGGCTGAACAAAATGTTCCAGGCTCACCTTTTAATAAATGCACATGGAAATTGGATTATGTAGGAGGCTGGCCAGCTTGACACCTCATGGCTCTCTGGCTACTCCTTGATGCTGAGGGCTTCCTAGACTTTTATAAACCCCAGGCTTTGAGTAAGATGATGGTGTCCAATTTTCAGGCAAAGAAATGGCTAAATTTACTCAGCAAGTTGGAGAAAATAAGATTAGAAGTGCTGCCATAAATTTAACTGTGTTTCCCATCCTGAGTCCCAAGGAGGAAGTTCACACTCGAGGCCAGTCTCTGAGAGTCTTTATTCCTGGCAGGATTTGTAGTCACATGGATGTGGTATGTGGGCATGCTCGTATGTGTGTGTGTGTGTGTGTGTGAGAGAGAGAGAGAGAGAGACAGAGACAGAGACAGAGAGGCAACCCTGCGTATCTAAGTACAGTCCAGCATTGCTTAACATTGGAGAATTCATCACTGAGCAATTTTGTCATCATGGAAACATCAGAGTGCACTTACACAAACTTAGGCAGTGTAGGTGAATCAAATGACCTGGTCTTTTAATGCCATCAGGAGCCACGCTGAACAAAGCTGTCTGAGGCTGCTGCCAGCGTTAACAGTGTACACTCTTTTACAGTGAATTTTTGTATTGGTAGAAGAAATAACTCTAAAATTGTGGTAAAAGTATAGTATAGTAAATACACCACTCACACAGTCATTTACTATCAGGTGTCATATGGTGTGCATCATTGTATGTGCTATAGTTTTGTACAACTGGTAGTGCAG